CGGGCAGGGCGATGCTTGTTCGGCGGAGCCATTCGGCGGACACAGATCTCGTCTGGAGCGACTTGCCATCTGCACAAGGATCTTCCGGTAAGCTATGGTTCCTTCTGAGCTCATGCAACACATCACATCTAGCTATACTCTCCGCAAGCGCCCCCACGATACCAAAAGCGAAGCGACTTGCTGGGAGGACAAGTGCGTATCCCGGCCAGAGGGCATGTACGGCGTCGTTTCGTACCTCTGCAGCCTCTTACCGATGCCATTAGCAAACACCGATGAGATAATCTGAAGCTGCGTCGTGATATCTTCGGCCTGTTCATCGATCTACCTACAGTATAGGGACTCCCCTCCGAGGAGCCTCCATTCAGGCGCGGCTCTTCCTCTCAAGACTTGAACGAAACGTATTCTCGCCTCTCATGTGCAGCTACCTCGCCAGACATTGCACATCGATTCGTTCGCTTTTTGCCGCGATAGCACATATTGAAGTGGGTTACGCAAACCATCGCGGCTGATTCTCTAACATTTCGCATCGATGTCCCGTCCTTACTCGTGTAAGCTAGTCAAACCGGCCCGGCGATAGCGGCATTTTCACGCTAGTGAGTGAGGCTGCAAGATTTAGCAAGCGTCATGCTCCTGTCGCTATACCGAACTGGAAGCAAGCGAGGAGCCGATGCAATAAAAGACCTACCGAATAGTCATCGTGCAAATCCGGTTCTGCTCTAGGTGACCTCGGTCAATATCCCTTCTTGAACTTCACTGTCTCCACGGAAGTACTCGAGCAAAGCGAAGCAAAGCATACGAAATCGTCCGTCTCGCACTCCTCGAAAGAAGCGCGCAAGAAAGCTTGATGGTACAATTTTGTAACGTTCCGAGAAAGAGGCGGTCTACCCACGTACATGGTCGTCGACGACGACTAACGCTTCGTCTGATCCTCCCGCACGACGGGCTAGGAGAAAAACCGAGCTCCGAAGCGAAAATTGTCTCAAGACAATCAGAGGTGTGTAGAGTGTAGACAATAATCACAGTCGACCTACAGTACGCTTTCACCTCTAAGAGACTCTCTATATCTGATACTACAGTCCCTGTCGAGCAACATCAATGCAGCATCACCGCCGCTTCCCTACAGCGCGGCCAGCAAGACTCCGTTCTCAAGTCGTCGTCTCACATCAGTATCACATTGTGTCGGGGTCTCTCGCACCCACCGACGAGGTATCTACTGTCTCGACCTTTGAACGCCCTGGGACACCGCTTCCAAGTATGCGTTTAGTACTTGGGAACAACATCGCGCTCACTCAGAGCCCACAACGCGATTGGGAATGTTGCCGGTCTTATGACCCATCCATCGTCTCCTGGGAGACGTACCGCTATCCCGCTGGGAGGCCCCCATATACATACGCGAGATACGCAGCTCTATGAGCCTCACTGAGGACAAAGGCGTAGTCCGCGAGAGTGGACCACCGTATGCGACACCGCCTGTCCACGACGAAGAATACCGCGGTCCGGAAAGGAAGAAGGGACATACCGACCGTCTTTACTCGATACGGCTTATCTATCTTGCAGTCTTCCGGAACGCTGGGTAACGTTCAGCCAGCGTATGATCCTGTTAGAGACGTCGTGGATTTGTGCCAGTGCCTTTAGGTGATCGTCCGGTAGACAAAGCTCCCGCAATCTTGAGAGATTCGAAAAGAGCTCGTAATAGCAATCAAGGTCCTTGCTTGCATAGTATGTATCGCGGAGAAATGTTTCGGAGACATTGCAGTTACTGCTCGTTTACATCAATGGAGGCTAACGTTGCAGTGACCTTTTACTGCGCATTGATATATCCATCTGGCCGCTAGGAGAGACTGTTGCTCTTACCTTTGCAGTCGTGGTATCGGTGGACCGCGGTGCTTTGATCGACGCTTGCATCTTCATGTCTACTCCCTTCTTTCGCCGATACGGTGTGCTCCCTGCATTTCTCGGTATTCCAAATCCTGCACACTGCGCCCAGTCGCTTTTGTGTTCACTACCTACGGCCATTTGCTCGGCACTTTCGATGTACTTTAAACCAGGATGTCACTCGTACAGAGGCAAAGGCTTGCATCTCTCGTCTGACATCCTTACAATTGACAATATATCCGGCCCCGCATTCATTTGGCATCTTTCCTCTATGTCGAAGCACGTTTCCTGCTTAATGCCATGCTGTATGCTGCCCTCTCCGTGGTACAGAAGCCCCATACATAATCAGATCAGCCCAGCATGCGCTCGTAGTTATACGATCAAAAAATTTCCACCTCTACATTGAATGGCTCGTTGTCCAGAAAGCGATATATTCCTTTTGCGCGAGGACATGGGCTTGCATTTCATTCTGCACGGGGATGCTGCGATCGTGAAGGCGTCTTAATGTAAGCCAAATGGAGACAGGCAATTTGTCTTAGTTATTACATTAATAATCGCCAGGTTAGTAAAGGCAGAGGTGCAAGGAGGGCGCAATAGAGCGATCCGATGTGTATCGTGTTCAGGGCACCATGCGTCCCTGAAGTCTTAAGAGCGAAGCTGCCGCAGGGTAGAGTCAAAATCGCTGAACGTGTCGTCGTATCTCGTTACGCCAGCCCTCAAGTCGGGCAGTGGCGCAGGTGTTAACGGTGAGGTCGGTTGAGCGATGGAGTGTGGGACGTCTCTGCCACTCACGCAGGCTGACAGTCACCCTGATCGGTCTGCGATGCAGCATACCATTCCCTTAACAGCGAGTTGCAATGACTCGCAGCGCAGGCAGGATTCTCAAGACAGGAGTGGAAGAAGCAGCCCTCCTAGTACCTGTGAGAAGCACATCGACTACATCCGTGGTGAGTCACCTCGTTCCACCCATGGCATGACTGGCAACCGCGGTGGACTTCGGAAGACAGGATCCGTGTCCCGAAGCGCGCGAAGTATTATTGATCGTTCCATTCAGGATACAGATGAGATCCGTGTGACAGTATTTGTGGCAAAGTTCCGGGGTTGTGAGGTGGAGAGGCAATGGTAAGCCCTCGGGGGTCGCTGGGAGGGGAGGAGGAAACAGCAGGACGGGGTACGCGGCGCAGATGCGACGACACACGTACATACGTTCGCGGGGCCTCATGTATCGGTGCAAGTCGCTATATTTTCTCTTGCGCGTTCATGTCGCGTTGGAATGTGCGACAACGATCCATGCGATGGTATTCTCTAGGTAAGTCAAAGCGGAAATGAAAACTTCCCAAGTTCGAATGCCCTCGGCTCAATGACAGCAGCCTGGCCTCGCGATCGCGGGACTCTACGTGGGAAGATCTCTGGCATCTCTCTGGCATCTCGTTTTCCTTGCTCTGATTGCGCTTGCCTGTCCGGGGCGACGTGGTCGTTGGCTGTCGTGTATACTTATCGCTCCAAAATGTGAAGCTACATCCCCCCGCGAAAGACATGCGATGCTGATCTCTGAAGTGTATCTACTGATTTGATAAAGGCCACTGGAATATCTGAGTCCTAGAAGGTCCATCTTGCGGATTGAACTTCTAGGAATAATGCCTCGTATCCAGCGAGTTCTTTTGCTTTAGTATAAGTTCCAGAGCCCTTTGCTTCGATTAAACAGAGCTCGCATACAGCGTGTGCTGTATACACAGGTTACAATCCATCCAAAGAAAGCCGTGTCGATGGGATGCTAACCGGAACGCAATACTTTCGTACAGAAAAGCCATCTCAGACAATGAAAGTAGTGTGCGAAAGCGTCAAATTCCGACTTGGGCGGCAATTGTCGCCTTTAAGTTGCTCCGTAGGGATTCCGAGATGAAACACTCCTTGTCGGCAAATGTGGAGAGCAAATGCCTTCTTTCGGACGCTTTTGTAGAGGAACGCGACCGCCTCTTTTGGAATCCATGCAGACCACGAAACCCAGGAAAGGGAAGAGCTGCCTGGATCTTAGAGAGCAATGCTTCTGCGGGACGCTTACTTCTACAGAGGAGAAGGACAGCGACTTCTTCTTCTGGGTTCTGTGCGGATCGTGGAAGCTAGAAAGGGGAAGAGCGGCCTGGATATGTGTAGTAACGAAACATGTGTAATAGCTTTGGGTTCACAGACCTGAGAAACATCTCCGTCTCCGTCTCGCCGGGTTAGCCATGATAAGCGCATAAATGTCCACGCATCCTTTCAGTTGTGCGATACAGTCGTCGCTGTCTCTCACGGAGTTCTTGGTCTCCCCGCTAGTGGGTGATCTCAGTCCTGCTACCGTCCATGTTCGAACCTCCTTTGCACGTGGCGAAGTGCAGCATCGATTGTGTGGGACATCAAGCCTGGATTTGACGGTGTGATATCGTGATCGGGCTGTTCGTTAGCATCTTTGTACATTTGCCCGGCTCCTGGTAGGATTTTTCCGCAGCACCCTGCTGCATCCTGGCACCTGCAGGAGGCCCTCGGTCGGGAAATGGTTGTGCGATATTCCAATGCAGTGCGACGAAAGAGCTGCGGCGTGCATTTGCCAAGCGCATCTCACTCTGCAGACGTTGAGAAATGCAGATGACGAATGTGCTGCGTGAGTCGAGCCTCGCGAAGTGAATGAGCCCATCTCGCGGAGTTACAGATGTTCCGAAGTTGGAGGGAAACGAGCGACTCATGAACCAACTGTTGAATTATAATGAGAGCCGAACAGCGCTGTCACTGCGCACAGCGGCACAGACTGAGAAAGTGTTGAAGCATTCGCGATATGCGAGATCAGTACACACCTGTGCATTGTGTGCTCTCGACCATTCTCAGACCTCTTTCCCGCAGCCGAACACCTGGTGGCGAGGATAGCTGGGCCCGAATAAGAACTTATTCCGTCGAAAAGCAGACCAATCTTTCTTCCCCTGACTTGTAAGGCCAGCAGCGTTTCCATGGTCACCCGCATCCAACACACTCACATCTTCTGTTCACATTATTCCAGGGCCTATCTATGAGCCTTTTCCTTGAGCAGGCTGCAGAAGGTAGTCGATCTTGCTCGGACCGTGCACGACACCACTTTCGCTCTTCGTTCCAACCTAAGCAATTGGAGCGACGGCAGTATCCTGCTCCACTTCGAAGACATCGACCTTTTGCTCGCAGTCGGCAGCATTAATGTCCAGCTGTACAAAGCCAAAGGCCTTGAAGTCGGCACCCTCGCAGAGCATCATCCATGCCGGCGAAGCGAACACCGCTGTCGTTGGGGCTATCAAAGCTGTCCTCGCTCGCGGCTGGTATCCTCGAGGTTGCCTTTGTACCCGATCCTGGATTCCTGGTCCGTCGCGCAGGTTCTGATAGACTTCGCCCGCGGCCATTCCATGTCTGATGCGCTTCATTGTATCCATGAGCCTATCTCCAATCCGACCGCAGAGGTTCCCTTGCCCTTGAAACTTTGTGATTTGTCGATCGACGAGGTCAGGAGTGACATCTGTAGACGATAGCGGTCTTGCTTCTCTTTCTCACGCCCAGCAGGCTCCTGTCCTCTTACGTGCTGCCTGGCCCCAATTTCTTGACCGCTTCGGGGATCGACGTCTCTTGCTTGCCAGGATTGTAGAACTTTTTCACGCTAGAAGCCTTCTTCCTCATTGCCAAAACCGACGGCTGGGCAGCCGAGAAGTGGTGAGGTGGCGTCATGACCGCAATTTCGGGAGAGTGTCGTCAAACTCAAATACCACGCGCGGCATGGTATCAGAGCGCTACTGGACGCCGTCGGAAGCAATGTCTCCAGTCGTTATATTGCCGATGGCGGTGACGCAGGATCAGATGACGCCAGGTGTCGAAGAGACGGGCAGCGTAAGGCATGTCGTGGAGGTCATTGCGGACTGGCGCTTCGAGTTTCCGCTACGCGTGGAGGGTGAGATGAGCTAGAAGAAGACTGAAAATGATGGTGTTGTTGAAAGCATGAAGCGGACGTAAGGCGCCAGCCAATTTTCGGTGTGCGCCGTTGGCACAGCCACGCGTGGCTTGGCTCTCGCATCTTCCATCTTCCTAGCATCCATACCAGATTTCGCATCTCAAATCAACGTGGAACAGTCCAACAGCACTATCTTGACCGTTTCGCATTTCAACGACTCGCTTTGAATGATGCTTCCAGAGCGAATCCTGTCGAGAAGTACGTGATGGTGGAGCACACAGTCCCCTCGGAGCTTAGTTTCGCCGGCTCCGATGACGGCGACCACCGGCTGCGCCGACAACAAGTGCGTGCTCCACGATCCATCCACACTTTCGCCTTCCAGAGATGCTTGTCACTTACAACGCTTTCCCTCAACACCCTCCATACAAGCGCAGCACCAGACGCTCACCCTCCCAGGGCTAACGGAACATGGCTGTGAGCCTCCATTACTTTCCTTTAAGTGGCAACAAGACGAGAAATCGATGCGGCGGGTAGAGAGACGCTCTCAGAACCGGAGCCGAAGACAAGGTAGGACTTGCGGCTCTCTGCTTGTCAGCTCCATGGATCTGGTCCATCTGGAAAGAAATTCGACTGCGACTTTCACCGGTCTCGTGATATATTACGAGATTGTTCAAGCTCTGCGATGATTCTCCCAGTCTTGAATGCGAGCTGCCGACGTCCGCATATCTCACACGTTCCACCTGTACCGCGGGCATCCACGGGCTACATAACCTAGTACAATGGAGCGCGCACATTCAACACGCACAATCATTGACCGACCTGCGTTTATCAAGGAGTACCATTCCGTTATTCGACCAGATCAAAGACGCACCGATACTGCGACAGGTCACGGCTAGCACTCAACCTCCCAGCCTCAACTTCGCTACGAGAACCCCGAGCTTGAGATAAGAACAGGAATGTGTGGCCCCAATGAACAAGTAGCAGGAATGCGATCGGTAGCGACTAAGGCGAAAGAGAGGACATCTCGGCAAAGTCGCAAAGGAGGGACTTGGATCCGGATCTGGTACTGGCATCACTCTACATTCAAGTCGGGACTCCAGCATGCCAGTATGCGAGTACCTCTGGACGCCGGCAGCCACGCGGAACCATCTCTCAGCGATCCCGATGCAGCTCTATTCCGCCGATAGGCAATGACCGTGAACCAGTACACCCGCCTCAGTACCAGGATGCTACCTACTCTGTCGACAACGTCAGGCCTTCAAATCGCTGGCTTTAGATCGCTGCCTACATGCGAGGTAACACGTACGCACATGCTCTTACACCTGCTGTCCAGGGAGATCTCCCGTAGGTGCGAAGCGATTCGAGCTAATAGACAAATTACAATCAGTTCAGCGGGCATCTCAGAGTATCACTACCATACATAAGGAGTATCCGGGTCGCCAATCCTTGCCTGCTATTCCAATATCTATCAGTACTAACGTGAATGTAGGATAACTCCAAGTTGCTCCCCCAGATGCCGCGTGCTATACCGCTCGGAGCCTGATATACGACAGAGTCAACAACTGACTAGCTCTTGAAGCCAGGGCCCAGGGCGGACCTCAGCCAATCCTTGGAAAATGCACCACGGCGAATGCGAATACCTCCGGAAGGCTGCCACGAACTATTGCTTTAGCTTCCAATGTTTCCCACGTGTATTGATATCGGTACCAATCAACCAAAATCGATACCAGCGACAAGAGGATGTCCAGCGAATACAAGTACACCCACAAGCAAGCTATGCTTCACATCAGGTCTTGTAGGTTACATCTGGCGCGGCTCGCTAATTTGTCTTTTCGCTTTCTTTGCGAGTGTACAGATATGAGATAGATGATCGTCTTCTGCGGCCTTAGTATGTTGTCTTTTGGTGTTTGAGATAGTAACGCCGTAGCGGCAAGCGTAGGGGCCTCTCACCGCCTCCTAACTCGAAGCTGGCGCTCGGGTTCCAAACGCTTAAGATGGTAAGAAGGACATTATGTAGATGAAAGCTAAGAGAGCGTCAAAGGAAAGAGAGTTACGAATGTTGTCGGTTGCAGTGGAATGGAACATACAAGATCGCTGATGGAGAATGCGTGACGCGTTTCCGGGCTATCCGTGGCTGATTATCCTTTAGGCATTCTTGGTAGAGCGCATTTCGGCATATTGGATTATTTGATAAAGATCTCACTACATCCGTCCAGCATCCTAGAAACCCGGCTGGCACTCTCCGATCCGGTAATGGTTCCCCCAAGGCTAAGCTCACGATAATTATTACACCAGTCATCTACTGCAATGCAGCGTACCCGCTGAAAAAAGAAAGAACTTTAATCCATGGATTGCCCTATCTTCTATTTCTGCAGCCCACAATCCCTTCAATGAGAATTATGAAATGGAAGTGGGTTGACATCAATACAGAGTACACACGACGAGTCTCATGCGCCCCTTGAAACTTCGTGTTCGAAGCGCACGAACAGCTTCTCCATTTTCATTCCACCTCAGTCACTACTGCTGAACCAGACTTCGTGGCGAATATATATAACATGGAGGTACCCGCCCTTGTTCACTCGCAGCATTTACGGACGATACCCATTTGGACATGCAATGCAGATGGAAGTAGATTACTGTATTCCCAATCTACGAGCTGCGACGGCGGGGGTGTTCAATCTCACCCTCTCCTCGAAAGGCTAGAAATTTGGCCGACGTGACATATAATCCTGGCGAAGATCCAAATTGTCGAATGTCTCTAACAACTCTCGCCATAATCTTTGTCGCCATGATCGTTGTAAGGAGGCGGACTTTGTGAGAAGGTGACGGAAATGTTCAAATGCTATTGGAAGCGCGCGTGCGGAAGAGAGAGATAGAAAGAGAGAGAGAAGGAGAGAGAGGAAGAGAGAGGAAAGAGAGAGGAAGAGAGAGGAAAGAGAGAGGAAAGAGAGAGGAAAGAGAGAGAAAGAGACAGAAAGAGAGGGAGAGAGGGAGAGAGAGGAGGGAGAGAGACTGCGGATCTCCTTCGAGTGCACAGATCCCACCGGGTCGAAATTCGTGCGCTAACTCTCCGCCAGCTAAAGCGTCCACATGACCGGCCAAGATTCCAGCTCCGGTTTCTGAAGAGGTCTGCTTCTCACCGACAATACTTAATGACACCGCACACGTCGCCCGCCAGGTCCTCTGCATCTTTTCTGACGCCCGCAATTTTCTCCACACGCTACATGGCGATGACATGGTAATAACCAGGAAGCTCTATCGTCACGACTCCGCCGTTCCGGGATTCCATTGGCCTCGCATCGTCGACATTTCCGATGGTGACAGGTCGTATTCAGCCTCGAGCATCCAGAAGTTTCTCTCTGCGTCATTCGTCGACGGGGACGTTCGGACGATTACTTCTCCTCCAAGTTGTCCCGGCGCGAGAACTTCGAGTCTTCTGCGAGCGTCGGCATTATCTTGCACGAGACTCTCGCAGCCTTCATTGGATCTCCCACCGGCGAGCGTTCAAGCCTTTTGACCACCTGGCAAGAAGAACCACCTACTCCAGGATGTGAACTAGCGTTGCCGACAAAAAATTACAAGAACGGCGATCGAAGAAGCGGACTCGGCGATACCAGTGAAGCGGGACTCCAGAGAAACCATATTAGACTCGAGAAAGCTAGACGAGACTGGGAGTCCCGAAGATCGTCTCGCCGATTTTGCAAGATGCTTCGTGGAATCATTCGCTATAGTACTGGTCGGGAAATGCAAGATAATGCACGATGGTTTCGATCCACGGGGAAAGCGGGATCATGTACAGAGAAGAAGCTTGTCCGCTGAAGACGTCGTTAGTATCGACGACACCTTGTTCTAGAATGATTCTTCCAAGAAGGCTCCGCGGGAGGACCTGGAGATCGGGAAGGTCCTCGCTTTAATCGAGAGTGCCATTACGAGTCCTTTGGTGGGAGACCGGAACTCTGTAGCCTGCTTCAGCCACATGCCGATAATGTCGCCGAGTCGCGGGGGAAATGCCCCGGGGAAGAGTTGTTTCGGATGTACAGTCCAGCTCTTCGTAGAGATCTCCTAGCATATTATCGATTCAGTGCTGTCTGCGGAGACTCTGTGCCTGGAAAGGCACCGTCATACTCTAAGTCGAGATCGCCATTGGCCTTATCGTTGTGTGAGATGCGGAACGCTTGCGAATGCACCGATTTCAGACTGACGAGGGCGACCAGGTAAGTGTCCCGAGACCTGTCGTACACGCTGAGCAACGCTGGCGTGACATTATTGGTCGTATCAGGCTCACCGCCTCAACCGCCTTAGTCCACGAGGGTGGCGGGCTCGGTATCCTGGGTAAGCCGCGCCGCTGACTTTCTCCCCCTCTGCCTTGGCCAGCTTACCGAATGCCTGTTGCCTGCTGGCATATGGGCAGAAGGACTCAAGGAGTGGACAGGTGAAATATATGATTCGCATGGAACACGCATGCCGCCGGATAGGTCTGTGGGCCATGGTGTTGTTCCCAAATGAGCGCAGTGCAAACAGGCACAAGACGCCAAGTCCTGTGTAGTTGTTCGGGATCCGTCAAGTATCTTGGAATGAAGCATGAAAATGCTGTTCGTGCGGTTCGGGCTTATTACTGGAACGGCAAAGAGGAGGCGTTGTTCTCTTCTCGTTTCAACATCAAGGACGTCTGTGCATGCGGCAGTCTGTCGCTTTCCTCCAGCACATCGGATGCGGCGATGTGTTCTTTCTCGTCATGGAAATCGGTAGCGCTGGACTCGGAGAGGGTAGTACAGACTGCGAGGGCCGAGGACTGAGGACTGAGGACTGAGAGTCGGTCTGGGTCCGGAAACTCCTGCAGATCCGTGTGTGAATACCTACAGCTGGCGCGAGGCATAGGCTGAGCCAGATGGACTCATCATGAAATGAATCGTCATGCTATGATCAGATTCGGAGTCGCCGATGAACTTGAGACCCCATCGGTACTTCGGCTGCACTGTGACAAGTCAGCAAACCAATGAGACGGAAAGATGGGAAGATGTGACTCCGATGTGAGATGAGATCTTTTCATAATATTGACGCCAGATATTCGAGTCGCTGTTTCAAATCTCAACTCGCTGCTATTCTCGCGAGGAGCTTGGGGTATCAATGCTGGGATCGCTGCCGAACATCACCTGAGAGCACATTATTAACGCCACCATGTTCATCCAAATGTCTTGACTCTTGCGCCATGTTTCCGAGCAAATCGTTCAGTGTCCGCGTTCCAGCCTTCTTCGGAGCATGCCTCAGAAACCGTCATCCTCCTCGCCGTCCACCTCCATCTCGTCCTGAGCGGCGTGTGTGTCCTTCTCAGCATCGCCATTGCTGCTCTTGTCGAGTGCAGATCCGGACTTCTTCGACGCCTGCTGCAGACGAACACTCCGCCGAGTGCCGGCTTGCTGTTGATCTTCCAACATCTGATTCTCACGCACTTTCTTAGCCGCGCGAACAGCGGCCTTCTGACGCCTCCGCCAGGTGGCGACGGCCCCCGCGCTCACGTTGCTCTTGTGCACCCAAGTCGGCTCTGGCCACTTCAGCTTTGATGAGTCGTCCTCGGCCGGCGTCAGCCAGCGGACACGGTACTCGCGCGGCATCTCGCGGATGATTTCGGCAGGATACTCTGTATCTGGAACATCACCAGAGGCAGTGCGCGAAGTCGGGGGCGTGGACTTTGTGGTGCGCTTGTATGGCCCCTGCGCGGCCTTCCCTTCGGCGTCTGATTCTGGATCGAGATGGATTATAGGGCGTCCCTGCGAGGGTGCGGTCTTTCTGGCACGCATGCGCGGCTCTGGTTGCGGATCGGGGCGGATGATGGGGCGTCCCTGGGGAGGTGCGGTCTTTCTGGCGCGCATGCGCGGCTCTGGTTGCGGATCGTGGCGAATGATGGGGCGTCCCTGGGGAGGTGCGGATTTTCTAGCGCGCATGCGTAGGATTGGCTCCGCCTGCAAAACGTCAGTCGATCTGCACCGGCATGCGCCCGGCTGTAAGGGTTTCAATGCAAGGGCGGCAAGGAAACATACGTACCACACCAGGCGGCGCCATATCGATGTCTTTGGAGATGATTTTGATAGAGTGAGAAGTGTGAGAAGGTGTTTGACGACGGTGGAGGTTGTGTGTGCGAAGAATTCTTGTCGCGTTTGTCGAGATGAAAGCGAAAATGCAAGAAGGAGCAGACTTCCGCACCTCCGGGCGGAAGCTTTCCGCGCACTGGTAATGCCTCAGGCTGACATCAGGCTTGGCGTGGCAAGTCAAATTCGGGAGGATTTGCGTGAATTCCGTGTGTGCTGAAGCAGACGGAGCTACTACATTGTCTTCGATCGTGGGAGCGACACATTCTAGCTTTCCCCTCGCGCCTGCAAGAGCCTGGCCAAAGAGCATTTTATCCTCGTTGTGGGCTCCTGACTGAGCTCCCGCATCAGGCGCCATGTGCGATAGTCGAATTTTAATGAGCGTCGCATGAAAAATTGAAGATCCGGCACCACCGAAGCTCCACCTGCGAAAACCTCCTCACCACTTCTTGGCGAAAGGTATTATCGTCAAAACAACTGCCTCTACCCGCATTCCGCTCACGCACGCAAGGCCAAGCCCACACGCTCTTCTATGGACCTTCCCCATCGCTTGCAGACAAGACATTCATTGACTCCTCCTTCTGCGACTTTTCTCTCCTCAGACCTCGATCTACCCTGCCGTCATGCCAACACTTGGCTTCAATTCCCTCTCGCGACAAGAATCGGATGCGTTGAGATCTTCGCCCCTTGCGAGCGGCAATGCCGATCCCCGCGACTTGTAATACACGGCGATGCCGCGCAACAAGAGCTGTTAGGAGAAAGAACAACGAGACCGTCCCATCGATAATGGGCAGATTGACGGCTGCGCACATCACCTTCACAGTCGGGAGACGGCGTTTTTGAACAGTGACAATGCATACACGGGTACTATCAGAGCTGACGCAGCTGAGGACAATTTGGCGATGGGTCATGAAGAGTTTCAGAGCGGGCGCATGCGAGTGCTCTACTGCAGAACGATTCGCTGTGCGGATGCCGATTAGGACATGCACTACTATTACAATGCCGCTTTCGAGCTCTCGCGACTCGCTGCCTCGATCACCTGTCCTCGAAGAGCCGCAGATACCTGAATGTAATGTCTGCTACATAGTCTACTGGACAGGTCAAGCACTGCTCTTTCAGCACTACATGCCCACCGAATGCTTACCCTGACGGCTGCAGCGATCTCAGCCATACTGTTGCGCAAGATTATGCATGACTTTGGAGACTCCTGTACCTCAAGAGACGAGCCATATATTCTCCATGGACTCGATTTGCGAGCCGCTGCGGCGTTACCACGCGAACCATGTGAAAGTCGGCTGTCGGCAGCACTAAGCCGAATTGAAATGGCCTCACGCTTCTGTTTCAACCACACTTCGCTGCTGCCAGAACCTGAAAGTCCCTGCTTCTCCTTCTATGACGTACCCAGATTTGCTCTCAGACAAGCACCTGCCACGAAGCTGCTGCAAGACATTCCTGTTCCCGGCTTCGTTCTGCTCCGACCTCCAACTGCGGGCTCTCCGAAGCGCAATCGCCGACGTCCGTTGATATACGCAAAGCGCTGCGTACGAACCACCGAAGCTCCGAACAGTACTCAAAAAGAGAACCGCACCATACCACCTACACCGCCGTCCTGGCTCCTTCCGCACGATGCCAACACCGAGTCCCTCACAACAAGCACCCCGACCGACTCCCTCCGGCATGGCCGAGCAGATGTCGAGACAGATACACTTGCAAGATCTCGAAGAGCGGCACCACGATCTGAATGACATTCTCCACCACCGCAAGCGCTTTCTCGATGAGATCCGTCGCATGGAGAAAGCCCATCGCAACAAAGGAGGTGCCAGATTTGAGGTAGAGGAGGAGTACTTGACAAGCCTGGGTACTGTGCAGGACATGTTGAAGAGGATGGAGCAAGAGCTTCGTGGGATCCTTCGGGAGATAGCACACGTGCTTGAGGACGAATGAGACAACGGCGAGAAGGGCAGGGACGACGAGAGCTCGACTTTGACATCTTCTTCGCGGCAACAAGCCGAACGAGCATTGGAGTTTCGACGTGCTTGACCTCCGGCAAAGCTCAACTTGGCTCACTTTGGACAGAGACTTGCTTTAGCTGTTAAACAAGAAGGACGAGAGACAAAACGATGGTACTTTCACATGGATGTGGGTCTTACTCGTTCTGCTTGCACTGCTGAGGCTGACGTCTAGTTCGACAGAGATAGTGAGGGTTACAGCGGCATCTTGCAAGTCATTCTATAGCGGTTTGAGCGGACAAAGATAGAGAACAATGGGTTACAACGAAGTATCTTGACAGAGAAAAGGATTTGTGTGTATAGATCATTTTGGGCTGGAATTTTTTTCCAGCCTCTGTCATTCTGAAATCTGCCTAGGCTGAGGGTAATTGGTCAAGGAAGTGAAAGCTGATCCGTCAAGCCTTCCAAGTCCACGGAGGCAACGTCCTTGCCAGCTGGGATGTGATGGGGACGAACGGGAAAGCCGGAGAGGAGCAAGGCCGATGTCTGTGAATCCGGTCTTGCTATCTGGCCTGCACAGCTCCGAGTTGTGTTCAGACTTCGCTACACGCTTCACTGACCGCCATTTGTTCGTCTTTCGCTCGCAGTAAGGCGAAATGCACACAACCTTCCTGCACCGTCGCGAAAGATTATGGCTGATGTGAGATATTTAGATGGCAAATACAATTCTCGAGTCCGAATTTCGGCGGCACGAGGTGTTCTCCCACCTCGCTACCTACCCACGAGACATCCAGATAGGCGCCTGCTGTGCTCGGCTGGACCGCGAGCTTCCCGCGCATGAAGCGCAACTCTGGAACATTCGTGCCCTATGGGACTGGCTGTTGGTTGCTTCGCCGCGGACGGTATGTTTGTGATGGATCACCCGATGTTCGAATATCAAGAGCTTGGAAGGAGAAGACATTCGCTTTCAGATCGTGTGGAAAAGGAGCGAAGAAGGAGACTCATACGCTCGTCGGGTACCTTGGTCGATTGAGCGAAGAAACATGCTGATTTAATCGCTGCAAAGGCCAATACTTTCCTTCATGCCTCGAGATCCGCCGATTTGCTTCGGCATGCAATCGCAGGTACGTGAATTTGCCCAGATCTCCAGGACAGGACGTCGGCGACAGAAGCAGCATTTCTGTCTGTGTCGGACTTCTGGAGCCTTGGCTCCAATGCTGCGGCGTCGCAGGCCTGATGACAGTTTTTGGAGTCGAGTTCGGCATAGGCTGACAAGAAGTATAGACTCCGACTCGCGCCTCGAGCGCTTCGGTCGTCTCGTTCGTGCCGTCGAGCACAATTGGCCTGGCTGGACCTGGGTGTTGCCGTCCCGTCGCTCGCCGCCGTATTTTTCATACGGGCTTTTGGAGAAGCTGAAATCCCTCTCCGCCTTCTCTCCCGGTGAGGCCGAATGGCCTCGTCTAGCAGCTGCCTTGTCCGCGGAGGTTCGATCCCGGCTCGATAATACTCAGAGCATCATCGATGTTCTCACTCCGAGGGACGTCCTTGTAGTGCACCGGAGAGAGCTGCTCGGCCAGCAGCAGCCGCAGCCGCAGCAACAGCAGCAACAGCAGCAACAGCAGCAACAGCAGCAACAGCAACAGCATGGTCGCCTGCCTTCCTCTCCTCCTCCGCCTCCGCCTCCATCTCAACCCTCTCGGGAAGAGCGGGCTTGTGCCCAGCGCCCTCCACCGCATCGGGAAGAGCGGGATTGTTCCCAGCGCCCTCAATCCTCTCGGACCTCGAGTCCGCCCATTGAACAAGGTGTCGGCGGCTCTGCCGAGCCTCTGGAAGATCTGCCGTCTTCTCCGGACACGGAGGACGATTCGGGTGTGCCTTTCGGCGGTGCTTCGCCTGCTGGTCGAGGGAGGAGCACTCCCTCGCAAGTCCAATCCGAGGAAGAAGAAGAAGAAGAAGGAGAAGGAGAAGAAGAAGAAGAAGAAGAAGAAGAAGAAGAAGAAGAAGAAGATGATGATAATGATGATGATGATGACGATGATGATGAGGAAGGAGGAGAAGGAGGAGAAGGGGAAGAAGAAGATGATAAAGAGGACACAGGTCGGCGGCTTCGGCCTCGAGCCGCGAAGCGGCCTTTAGACACTGGCGTCTGCGATGGTGAGGCGTCGGAGCCGGAGAAGAAGAAGAAGAGGAAGGCAAGGGCGAAGCCAGTTCTGGGCGCGCGGATGCGCAGAGCGGCGCAGAAGGCTGTGGATGCCGATGTGGCGGCGGTGGAGAGCGCCACATCCGAGGAGGAAGAGCGGGCTTGTGCCCAGCGCCTCGCTCGCTCTCGTGCTGCCTTGGCAGCTATTGCTGCTTGTGATCATTGGGATCAGATGGAGGCATAATTTTCTGTTCTGTTTTTATATATTTCTAGGACATGAACATCTTGGCATGATCTTGCTGGGTCGCCACCAGAACGAACTTCTCCCTCTGTTGATGTTCGCTTGGCATACTTTGCAGCTAGGATATCACTCCTGACTGACAGTTTCCATGTTCAGCCGACCGAAAATGTCTGCCCGCTGTTTGTTCTGGAGAGCGGCTCCGAACAGGGCCCGACAACGTCGGAGGCACCGCCGTGAGTAATGGTCAGGTAAGCACACGTTCTCGGCTTGACGCGTTCCAGCGACGACGGTTCCAGAGTATGAGTGTCTATCTCCCTTCTATCTCCATTCTCTGTGGCATCCTACTTCCACTTTCATCCATTTTTCCGGATATCTCCAGGCATACAGCGGCCCATTTGCCGTCGGGCTCAGAGAGCAACGCAAAAGAAAGACGGTGAGCCGTTGTCTTCTGGAAATGACCTGCAAGCTCCCGAGTACATCTCTCGGACGATTATAGGAGCACATTCGACCATTGCTCTTTCGATTTTCACGATCATCTTGAATAAAGTACTCGGCAGCCCGTGTCCCTCCCTGCCGCCTGCGTCTCTGCAGCCCCATTCGAACAAATCCGGGCTGCATGATTGGAGGCACTCATCGCTGACATCCTTTTGATTCTCATTTCCAGCATGCGTAGGTCATTGGCGTCCCACTTGTACGTAGTCCGAGTTAGGAAGAGACGGTTTTGTGTTGATATCAGTAAAAGTCCTCCTTACTGCTAAGTTGTCCAGATAGAGCGTTCAAGAAGCGTTCCGAACTACTTCTCCTAATTTCTTAGCCGTATCTCCTAACCTCTGGATCCTGATCTTCGTTAAGCGATTATTCTCTGCGGCTCTGCTAATGCTTCGGCGTTATTCAACTCTTACCGTCGGTTATCATCTCGTATCTGAAACGGGTCTGGATGCACGACGTCAATTGTCTTGGAATTAGACGAAACGCTGCCAAACCTGAGCAGAGGGGTCGATGTTCGTATTTAGTATTAATACCGTTCACGAAGATCCCATTGCTGAAGTCAGAAGACTCTTGGACTGAACAGGGTTACACTGAAGCTTCACCCCGCTATTAGTGACGTCGGATTAACGAAATGCCTACACAGATGCAAGAGCACCAAGTTCCGCCGTTATGTGGCACAGTGGCATTAGATAACACCATAAAGACTACCCGGGCATCCCTTGTCCAATATAGCTTGTGCTCCTCTGGCTAAATCCTGCTTATTAGAAGATTCCGAACCCGCGTGGCTCGCCGGAGTAAAGCTTCGAGCTCAAACAATACGTAGACTGAAGGGGCGTGTCTCCTCTCGTAGGCTTGAGTCCCGCGTTCGTATCGCAACACTTCCTAATGTCGACTCGCCGTTCCCCTAATGATCTTCAAGAGCCGGCCGCGGATAAGAGCCCAGTTGGTATCGCTGTCGTCGTCGTTAATTCTTTGCTTGGTCGTCGCTTCGCTTGGTCGTCGCATTTCCAGGCTTCACGATCACGATAGCCGCCAGACGCTCCTCTGTGTCCCATGGATGTTGTCTCCAGCATGCCGACGTTGTGGTAACGGTATCTAAAGTGTCCAGGATTGGGGAGATTCTCGCGTTCGTCATCTTGGCTGGAAAAGGCTGCTTCGGGCAGAAATTAGATGTGTGAATCTGGGCGCCTCAGTGATACGGTCAGCAAGATGTGCATTTCAAATGCCGAAGCAACCTTGTTATGTCACTTCTGCCATAGCTTCTCCTGTTGCTACAGCATTGCCGCGGATCTTGAGATGAAACTCAGGCGAGTGAATGGTTGACAATGGGCGAGAAGGCGAGATGTGGAGTCCGCTTGTGTCGCTTCGAAACTCAGCGAATTTCTCTTCGGACCGGCCTGCCGGTGCCATCAAAATTGTCTTCTGTATCCACGACTACTCAATTGCGCCAGAGACATCAGGAAGACGATGAACACTAGGGAAGTCACGAGCTCGACACCGCCACTTCCCGCAAGTGCTTCGCTAAGGGTCCATCCGCCCGGTGACCCGCGGCACCGCTCAGAGTTCACGCACATTTCCGGCCATGGCCCATTTTCGCAAACTCGCACACTGCAATCTCATAACGACGGCGGCGGCGGCATGAATCAAGACCTCCCGCTATCTCGGATCGCTCCATCACTCTACGAAAGCCTTGCTATAATCGCCCGCGGGCCAACCACCTCTCGAGCGACTGAATTATTGCTCGGTCCGTAGCTGCCGTGTGATGGAACAGCGTCAAGAGAGCTCTGTAGTGCCGCATGGCACCAGTGGAGAGCATGGTACCTACGCCGCAAATATGATGAAGCGATACTAAGCATGCATTGCATTGAGGGATACGAAAACGGCAGAAGAGATGGACACAAAGAAGGCAGAGACGCTGCATGGGACGAGACAGACCATGTAACCTTGCTTGAGGCCCTGAACAAAGAGCTGAAGGGTTACAAGAAAGCAAGGGGAGATTTTCAGGGGAGAGTGGAAGTGACAGAGGATCAAAATAAGATGTTGCAGTTCGACCTGACTTACGTTCGAGGACAGCTCGAACAGATGGGGCCTGCGAAGGAACAGAACAGAGCGGCTACCAAAGAGC